CCTGGTGGCATCCTCATCCCATTTCACCAATGGTAGAAGATGAGGTCTCATGGACTGTGATGAACTCTGGGCTGCAATCCTCAGAAATCTGGAGTCTCAGATTCATCCTGTAAGACCTTGGAGGACTCTTGGTCAGAGCCTCTGTTGAGTATTTAACTCCTCTACACAACATCTGCTCCCTCCCCCACCCCATGGACTCATTGACTCCTGTTTCTGTACCCTCAGGGATGGCGTATTAGTCCCTTTTCATGCTGCTGATAAAGACATTCCTGAGACTGGATGATTTATAAAGAAAAAGAGGTTTAAGGAACTCACAGTTCCACGTGCCTGGGGAGGCCTCACAATTATGTCAGAAGAAGAAAGGCACATCTTACATGGCAGCAGACAAGAGAGAATGAGAGCCAAGGGAAAGGGAAAACCCCTTATAAAATCAGTGCTTGTGAGACATATTCACTACCACGAGAACAGTATGGGGAAAACCGCCCCCATGATTCAATCATCTCCCACTGGGTCCTTCCCACAACACATGGGGATTATGGGAACCATAATTCAAGATGAGATTTGGGTGGGGACGGAGCCAAACCATATCAGATGGGGAGCTTATAACTTCCTGAGGAAGCCCTTTCTCTCTTTGGAATAGCCGAGATTGTCAGTTTTCTTGTTGGCTTCTTAGAAGGAAGGGTGTGTGTGTGTGTGTGTGTGTGTGTGTGTGTGTGTGTGTGTCTCTGCATGTGTGTGTTTTCTAAGCATTTAAGAAGCATATTGAAAGGTGTCTTATTTTTAAGAGCCTTCTAAGTGAGGATATGAGCTCTAAGTAAACAGGCACTGGGCAGGCAGCAGGAGTCTTTTGAAGAGGACCACCTCTTCTCAACACTTGTACATGCAAACACTTTTTGGACCTTAAAAGATGTTTTCCCCAGAGATCATGGCCAAGGCATAACCCCTGGCTTGAATAAGCAAAGTGTTAGCTCTGACAATGGAAGGCCAAACAAAAAAGGACACTTGCAGGCAGACCCTCTATTTGGGAAATTGTTAATTACAGGTTGATAGTTGCAGTGGAGACCCAGGCTGCGTGGGTCTACAGGTCCCTGTCTTCTCCCTTTTCTCTTTCCCTGGGTGGGTCACAGGGGTCAGAGATTTGGCTCTACCTAGCCCAGGGGCTATGGGAAGAGACACCTCCTCTGTGAGCTCACACTCATTCAGCTGTTTAAACAATGTGTCACCCCCGCCCTCCGCTCTTCAAGTCACTGCTGAGGTACATGCAGCCAAGAGTACTTATTCATTATTACAAGCAGCCTGTTTTACAAAATCAGTGTCTAAGGACTTTGATGAGTGAATGCATTTGAGGCTAGAGGTACATGGTTAAGTGTTATCATCTGGAAAAGATACTTGGAGCAGGGAAATACATGAGTTGACTCAGAGAGGAGAGGTACAGAGACAGAACTGCCTGGGCCGGAACCTCCCAGGAACACCTGCATTTAGTAGTGATTCTGCATCACTGTTATCACCCTCACCATCACTACCACCATCACCACCACCCCCATCTCCACCTCACCATCACCACCACCCCCATCTCCACCTCACTATCACCATCACCCCCATCTCCACCTCACCATCACCACCACC